CCGTCCTTGACATGACGGTTGACCAGCGATGTGATTCACGCCGGCCGGCTGCTGCTTTAATCCATTCATCTGTAAGGAACGACTTGTCGTGCTTTTAATCCAATCGCGTCTTTAGAAATGAGTTGTTGTCGGCCAGAACCAGTCCGTCCTGCCCACCTGCTGATCAAACCCAGCGATTCACCGTACGGCCGTGACTCTGATTCCTTCTTCTTGTCTGGAGTTTCCTCTCTTTGTGCTTCCTTCTGTTTTGTATTCACGCTCCGGACTCCTTCTGTCGCTCCACTCGTTCCGTCTTCAGAACAATTTCCTCGACTTGTTCTGGATATGAAAGGCGGCGCCGCCTGATGAGTCCGGCGGGAGGCTGCTCGTCGTTAGGAGGGAGGACGCGGCGCCGGCGTATCGGGGTGTAATTTGGGAGACGAGTCCTGGATTCATCTGGCGGCATTGTCCTGAAACAATGCTGTGATGATGCTCGGCGGGGACGGAGGCGACCAGATGCTTTCAAAGGCCCCAAACGCAAATGTGCTCACAATGCTGATGAGCAGAGAGAGCTGTAGTGGCATCGACTCGTTACTGTCACACAACGGAAACACAGAAGGATTCGTTAAAAGGACAGTGTTCCACGTCACAGTGAAGACAGATTTCTACAAACATGCGTCTATAAAACATAAAGTAGTTACTGCGTGAGTATTTTCCTCCTTCCAGTCAGTAGATGCACCTTCTGGCTCCATCATTGATCCTGTTGGTCTCCATCAGTCTGAACATCTGGACGCTGCAGCTTCACCTCATTGTTCTGATACAACTGTTCGGACTCTGTCAGGTTCCACAGGGTTCCTCAGTGAACAGAACTGTTCAAGTCCAGACACGAGTTCTCAGATTGTCCTCCAGGATTTACCTTCACAAGCCTTCTAGGCTGCTGCTGATAAGATCTCCACATCATGATGCTGCCACCACCGTGCTTCACAGTGGGGATGGTGTGTTTGGTGTCCAACAAACATAGCATCTAGTCTGATGGACATAAAGCTCCATTCTGGTCTCCTCAGACCAGAGAACCTTCTTCCAGGTGACCTCAGAGTCTCCACATGTCTTCTGGTGAACTCTGGTCCAGATTTAATCTGAGCTTTTTCCAACAGAGTCTTTCTCTTTGTCTCCCATAAAGCTTTGATGGTGAAGAACAGACAACAGTTGTTGTATGAACAGTCTCTGAAGCTTCTAACTCCTTCAGAGGAGCTATAGGAGTCTTGGTGGCCTCCCTCACTCGTCTCCTTCTTGCTCGGTCACTCAGTCTTTGAGGACGTCCTGCTCCAGTCAGATCTACTCATGTTCCATTTTCCTTCCATTCCTTGATGATGTTCAGTAAAACTATTCTCTGTCCTCACCAATATATTGACGTCCTAAAACATCTTCTGGGCTTTTTTGACCTATATCTGCGTCAGGAAACATAAAAGTCCCTAAACACACCCAAAATATCTTCAGGAACTCCCAGAAAACTAAACCCTGAGGTGATGCAGCGCCGTCGTTCCTGGGTTCAGTCTCCATGGACATGCAGTGTTTATCGTGTTGTTCATGTTTAGGTTGGACTTGGCCACGGCTCTGCTCGTCCATGTCTGGTGTCTTACGCAGACTTGGAGAGATGTTTGGGCAAGCTATTAAAGTCGGTCATCAGTTTCACTCTGGGAACAAACAAACTAATTCAAATAATGACTCCTCTGATTGCAGAGCTGCAGCCCGACAGTTATTAAACCGTCTCTTTGTGAGACGCAAAGTTTCGTCATTTCACTGATAATCGAGAGCCGAGTTCCTGCAGTCGATGGAGGACGCTGAGACAAGTCTGGACGAGACCTGACGTGTTGCTTTGTTCTCTTATTGACTCTAACGTCTATAAAGACAAACGTGTGAACCTCTTTCTGTCGCCTCCGACGTCGTATTGACTCACATTCATTGCTCTGCGTTACCACGGAGACAGTTTGATGATACACAAGGAAAAGCCTTTCTAGCATCGGTCAACAAATAAATAAACTGAGAGGTTGGAGTTCCTGATATCCTGCAGATATTTAACTATTTATATCTTTATGACCTCGACAAGCTTCTGGTTTCTGCTCATCAGATGTAGAAAGATGTTCCACCATCAGCTCCAAAACATCTGTATTTTATAAATGTTAATTTCATTTTTTTCTCTTTACTATGTTCTGTAAAATAAAAGTATTTTAACTGTATTTAAATCAGCAAAAATGTCCTCATTTTATAGATATTTCTAATTTGAAAAAGAAAATTATTTGGTAAATAACTAAAACTGCTATTTGACAGATTTTCCCTGTTTTTCTAAATGACAGAAAAAAATATTCATTTACATTTTTACGAAGAAAAATTAAAAACAAACAAAATGCAGATAACAGCTGTAAATAATGATGTTAAATTTAAAAAATAATACAATTAAATTTCCCAAAATTAAATTAATTAAATTAAAATGTGTATTTTTACAAAAGTTGAAAACGTTGGGGAAAAAAACGTAATTTTTTCCCAACATTTTTACAGGATTTAAATCAGTGAAAATGTCGTTATTTTGCAGATGTTTGTTGTTTGGGCTTTTGAATTGGAAAATAGTTTTATAGAATAGAAGAGAAGAGAAGAGAATAGAATAGAGTGTATTATTATTAAGTGTATTTTTAAACTGCACATAATAAAACCTGAAGTAACAGGAGAGAATAAAACGATTATGAACACGTTGAGCTGTTTAAATAAATCCTGACACGTCGGCTGTCAATGACTCAACATGTGACGCGTCACATAAAAACGTTTTTATCGTCAGAACCATATTTTTTTTCCAGATATCTGTGGCTGTTTGAGCAGGACTCTCGTGTTCTGATGACGGGTTTGAACTGCGTGACCTCCTGCTCGGCTGATTCACGGCTCGTTCCCTCGAGTCCGTCCCTACAAGGACGGGTCGGCAGCATCCCGAGTGTGTGCACTCGTATGTGACTCGGTGGGGGGATGGGCCGGCCGGGTTCTGACCCCGTCTGAAGCGCCCTCCATAATTCATGCCTTCTGCATTTGCATCGCGCTCACACTCGGCTTCCTCGACTCGACGCCTGACGGACGCGTCGACGGCCGGTTGATTACTTCGGCTCTCATCGTCTCCGAGGCGAAGCCGCCTCCTCGTGCGCGGCCGAGCGTCGCGTCGCGTTTCTGACCTACTTTGGCTGCGACTGTATTTTTCATGAGACTCAGACACACAAACGAACGCAGAATAAATAAATAAACAAACCCCAAGAAAGCACGATATGACAGGAAGACGCCAAGACCCGGAGCAGTCGGGTTCAGTACCGGGAAAAATAACAGCAGATATCTGTGATGTTTACAAACAACAAACCTGTTTGTTATTGTTTGTAAATATTTTTTTCAATGTACTGATAGTTTGTCTGATTTATTTACGAGAAAAATGGTGAAAATTTACTGTCAAACACTAAATATAAATAATAAATATATTAAATGAATAATACAGATATTTAATGTGGACGTTATTTACAGTTTTTTTCTTAAACAATTAACGTAAATATATTTTTATTTTTTACTTGTTATCGTCTGCAATTAAAATAATTTTAAAAAATCTATTAAATAACAATTACAACAATGATTGACTATTTTTCATGGTAGACATCATTTTTCTTCCAGATAACGGCAGATATCTGTCAGTTAGTGGTCGTCTGTTCGATTCATATGCAGTAAAATGTTAATTTACAATCAAACATTGTGAATTAAAATAATTTATCTTTTTATCAATAATACAGATATTTGATGTCGACTTTTTTTTTTTTCTTACATTTTTTTTTTTGTTCACAGTCAACATGTAAATATTTTTTTGGTAATTTTACTTGTGGAAAATTTGTAACATAACGCCGACCAACATGCGACGCTGCAGGAAGCAGCTCTGAGCTCCGGTTGGCTCTGAAGTGTCCTCACGCCTGAGCGCCACTTCACTCGCTCACTTCAGCCCCCTTCAGCTTTTTAAACACCGTCTCCAATTAATTCTGAAATTGCAGCCTGTTGACGAGCTTCTGGCTCTCGAGGAATCGTGTTCACGTCTTCACCTGCTGCTGGAACCAGTGGCTGCTTCACCAGCAACAGGAGCAGCGTTTAGGGAACATTCTGCAAACACACCGTCCTCCACCAGCCTGACACCCTGAAACTGAACTGATAGTTAATGAAAAGTCGACCAGAACCTCCTCAGAACATCTGGTTCTGGATCTGCAGGATCTGTATCTGTCCTTGAAGTCCATGGTTTTATCATTTTAGGCATTTTTGAGGATTTTTTTGAAGCCGTTTTGAAGCGGTTTTGGAGTCCATTTGGACGTTTGTTTTTGGTAAATCTGGACAGATTCTGGTTCATTTGGACATTTTTGGTGATTTCAGGAAATATTTCTGATCGTTCCCGACAAACTTCATGTAATTGGTTCATCGTTTTTGGCTTTTCTTTATTATTTTACACATATTTTTATTGATTTTTCTATTTTCTTAGTCATTTTTAACAATTTTTACGCCATATTTATGTCATTTTTAACAATATTTGAGTTAATTTTAAAAAATTATTGAGTCATTTTGGTGATTTTTATTTTTTTTTAATCATTTTGGAATAATTTTAGGTATTTTTGACGTTTTTTTTGAAGCCATTTTGGAGTTTTTTTGGTTTGTTTTGGGTAAATCAGGACAGATTTTCGTTCATTTGGTAATTTTTGGTGATTTTAGAAATATTTCTAATTGTTCCAGACAAACTTTACATAAACATTTCATCATTTTTGGCTTTTTAAAAATTATTTTACACATATTTTAAGTGAAGTTTTCTATTTTCACGCCATATTTTTGTCATTTAAGTTATTTTAAAGCATTTTGGACGTTTCCTGAGTTTATTTCCTCACTGCAGCAAACAAACACGACATTTCAGGATGAAAAACACATTTTCTTTTCTTTAATCGCTCTGAACTTGTTTCCTGTTTCCTCCACAGAGCCGACACCGATTCCTCCGCCTCCGTCAGCTCCAGCTCTTCTCACGGTTCCTCTCCGGGTTCTCCCAAGGGTTCTCCTCCGCGGCGTTCCGGACGGCTCCGTTCGCCTTTCGGGGCCTCGGACCTTCATGCGTCTCCCAGCGGCAGAGTCCACCTCCACCCACCACACCACCACCACCACCACCACCACCTCCACCTCCACCACCTCAACCATGAGCTGCGAGCAGGAGTTTGGAGACGGAGCGATGGGCGTGACGCTGACGCTGCGCCTCCTCATGCACGGAAAGGTGAGCCGGTCAAGCGAAAATCATGGCAGCATCACGTGTGTTAATCCGCCGCAGAAAATAGTCCCCAGCAGACGCTTCACTTCTTCATTTGTGGGAAACTTTTGGTAAAAGCTACCCAGCGTGGCAGGGATTTAGTCAATATTTAAAAGTGAAACAGCATATTTTAGAGCGTTTTACTGAGTTTGTTTTGTTTTTTAATCCTTTAAGTGTCTCCTAAGGATACAAAAAGATGTAAAATGACCAAAACGTGACACAAAAAATCCACAAAAAGATGTAAAATGACCAAAACGTGACACAATCATCCACACAAAGCAGGACTTTAGCTCGTCTTTATCATGTAGCTTGTTTAGTTTTCTGAATTTCCTGCAGCTTTTGAATTTAGCGCATTTTTTGTTCATCTTTGTTTAAAATATCGACACATAAAACCGACATCTTCTGTTTCTGTTTCGTCCACAGGAAGTCGGGAGCATCATCGGAAAGGTGAGTCCTTCTTCTTCTGTTTGTTTTGTTTTTATAGCAACAAATCTGCATCTGAGACAAAAACCTGCGTCCGGCGGTTCAAACTCAACCAAGAAGGATTTCTCTGTGAATAAAACATTCTGGTTTTTAAATTAAAGTTAAAAAAAGAAGTGTGCAGTAATTTGAGGAGATCCTGTGAACACGTGCGGTCCTTCTGGAGGCGGCTGCAGATAACATTCAGCGTAATCCGGCCGCGCCGATACGAAGTTTTCCGTGAAATCCGAATTAATAGCGTGCGACGCTCCCGGTCGGCCGGCGACAAGGAGCCGCTCTCCAGGGACGCCAGTCAATTTAACTGTTAAATAAAAACCCCGCGGGATTTCTCTTCCAAATATATCGAAGCCGAGCGACGAGCGATAATGACCACGGCGACACCCGCTAACCCGCTAACGCCTATATTTAGATTCCTCCCCTCCAGCTCCTCCAGTGTTGCTCCTCTGAGCTCCTGTCTGAAGGTAGAACCACAGCCAGATGGAGCTGAAGGAGTCCTCTGTGACGGCGACACATGAACGCTACAGAAACAAACGGGAGGGTTATTTATCGCGGGGACGGTTTTTTTCCTTCCTCCTCTGCTGCTCCGCCGGTGAGGCTGCTCGGGGGCATCCCGGCGGCGGCTGATTAGCAGGCGGAGAGCGTCGCCGCTTCCTCACCTGGAGTCTTCTGCTCGACTTCCACGTCCTCTGCTCCGTTAAAAGTAGCTTCATCCCTGTGAAGACGCGTCGATAAATAAAATAAACATCTTGTACATTATACATGTAAACCTGCTGCAGTGTGATGCAAATTCTACTCTTACAAAGCTTCTGTATTTTCTGTTTCATGTACAGATGAAACCAGAAGTTCACGTCCACCGTAGAAAATGACACAAAACCTTTTTGTTCTCACCGTCTGACATTAAATCAAACGTCTCCTGTTTCAGCTCAGTCAGGATCACCAACATTATTAGAGAGAGAATTTTTCACTACATTCTTCAAAGTCATTAGTTTCCATCCACTAAGATCCTTCAGACTATTTGTTAAAGCCCAAATGATGATGTCACGCCTTTGGAAGCTTCTGATTGGTTAACTGGAGGCACACCTGTGGATGTATTTTAAGGCTCACCTCCAACACGCTGCTTCCTTTGGTGACAACATGGAACATCTAAAGAAAGAGACCTGTGGACCTCCACCAGTCTGGTTCTGAAGGTTCCACGTTCATCTGTTCAGACAGTTC